TGCATGTGAAAGAGTCTAATTTCAGCAAAGATTACTCATTTTTCTGCATAATATAACGATTTTGCACGTGTTTAGCGCTAATCAGTGACGTCATAGTTAAAAATTACGTCATTTTTGTACATGTACTTGTAGAATTTACTTCGCATCTTTATTACTTCAATGCATAACATCAAACAATGGTACAAAGATGATTAAAATATCGTATTATTTGCGGCGAATTATTGCAAATACTGTATTTCGCTCTTTTACTGTTTCTAATCTTATCGAACAGCATTTTCAGATTATTTGGTTGCAGTTTGCAAAAAGCATTGTCGTCTAAGATTTCTTTTTCCTTTAATCAACGTTGGGTTTGTTGTTTTTTATTAAATTCTAACATGCCAAATATATCGCAGCATCCATCTAGTCACAGGATCGGATGCAAATGTGCATATACAATGCACGCGTGGCGAGGCAGTGAAGTTTTCAATTATTCGTTAAATAGAGGTTGTCTTATCAGCTAAAATATTTTGACTGTATGTCGGACTTTATGGCAGTAAAGGTTACATTTAATCTCACAAAGGTATTTATTAACTTTCTTTGAAAGCATGTCTAACGTGAGAAAAACAACGTTTCTGTCACATAAAATTTGGATAAAGTTTAACTAAAGATCTTCATCATGAATTATTTGAGATAGGGAACTGATCTACTTTCAAAAGCGCAGAGTGAGAGACAAGTTATAAATGTTTTTATAGCGGTTGCAGGGTTACCAGTCCGTGCATTTCCCCGCCCTTAAAATCGACCCCGAAAACCGAACCATAGCTTACGCTATTGACCCGAGCTAAAAATCACATAAGCTTAAGCACGCAAACATTTAATATTTACAAAATGGTACTAAATTACGTTTAATTTTAAATTTTGAGCAATATTGCAAGAAAAATAATAGTATTTAATTTTTTATTATTATAGATTTACTTTTCATGAAAATGGCTTAACTTTTCATTGATATAAATTTTGTCATATGATCAAAACATTCTCTTTTCAAAATTGATTTATTCCGGGTAATAACATGGATTTATTAGTCGGACTTATTGCTCAAAGAGTAATTGCCGGCTGATGTCATCCAGTTCAAGGCAGGAAGTCAACCCCATAGTCGCCATTTTAAAGTTACGTGCAAAAATATAGTTCTTACTCTCAACCGCCTTTGAGATAATCCAAACTTTAAATAAAGCAACAAAAATAAAACGAAGTTTTATCTATATAAAACATTAGTAGTAATGACTTTGAAAACGTCAGTCCCCAAGTCAAAGAACATAGTTTATTAACGTAAGGATTTTTTATAATCAGTGTTATCGTAGTTCTTTACACATACAAGGTAAAGCAGGAGAGGGAACCAGGCTGGCCTTTTTGTTTACATTCAGCTGCAGTGCCAGATTAATTCTGATTTTGACAAACTTGGACCGTGATATTAGGAATGAAAATCTCACTGTCAGTGTCTTATCACTTATATTGATAGTTTCAAAATAATTTTTTCATCAGAATATAAACGTGATTCATGTAAGAAATTCATTCTACTCAGTCTGTAAGTGGGCCCGGCTCTCTGTACTTCTTAATTCTTTGATTGTTATTACATTCTCGACCAGTAGTTTGCATAGAGACTTCAACTGAGAAGTAAACTGTAATCAAAAATATTTTGTACTTTCACTCATTTCTAATCAACCCTTGATGAAGAAAAATATTTTTTTTTTCCTTTTTGGAAAAATTAAAATGCTAAATGAAAGCTTACAACTCTTACAAGAACTCGATGTTTCAAACGCTACTTTTAGATAAAGTGTTCCTTGACCTGTTCCAATAAAACATGGATGGTACATGTATTTACCAGAAAGACAAATTCTTTCTCTGCATCAAAGTTTTGGTTTCTCTTTCATTTTTGAAACATAAAACTGAAAAGAATTTGAGAATGACACTATGATACACGTGCATTTCTCTAGAGGTTATAAGTTACCGATAAGAAAACGTTAAATTTTGGAAAAATAAAAACTGAAATATTTATCCGGCTGTATATATATTATATTATAGGGAAAAATTTTACAAACCACTTTTTCGTTTAAAAAAAACATCATTTAATCTACTTTCTTTGGTTAAAAAAATCTTTCTGTCCATTTAGAGTATTGTGGTTTCAACTGATAAGCATTGTATAAAATAAATAAATGCGAAAATGAAGACATGCGCACCTTAGTATTCCGGAAAGTTACCAATATTGTTAATATTTAAGAAAGTTTATATACACGTATTTTTAACTTACAACAAAAAATATACCGTGAAAGAAATTTACCTACTTATGCATTTCATTTTTGAAGCATTTGTTCCTATTTCACTATATTTTCATTAACATTCTGTTCTATAATTAATCTAAATCATTTTTGTTTCTAGTATTGTTTTTTATCAAATCATTTTACTTTTATCTGCAGGCCTTTATTGAATTTGGCAGCTCCTTTTCGTCTCACAAACTTCTGTGTTTAACTAATAATAATCTTCTAGTACAACCTCCATTAATTTTACATATCAAAATAAATATAATGCATATTACTTCAAACAATGCAATATATAATTCCTCTTGTTTTGGCCAGGAAATTTGAAAAAAAAGTTTTGTTCCATTATTACATCATCTAAACATTTTTTAATGCTTCTATTTATAGATCAAGGCTGTACTCAAAGCAATCCTTAGATCTTTAACAATTTCTTTCGTGATTTTACGAACAACTTACGCAGAAGCTTCATAATGTTTTTATTGCTTTTAAAGGCGAATAATAAAATTAGGCGTTGCCCATTTGCATTAAATACAGCAAAATATACGTTGAAAAAGGGTTTCTTTTAGCCTTCGTATCAAAAGTTAATTTGGACAATGGCTAAAATCTTCCAAATTATTTTCCTCAAAGATCTAAAATTATACGATGATTTACAAAATTTACCTGTTTCATGAAACAAACCAGCAATTAAAGATTAGGCCACTTTTCTTATCATATTCTCATTTTTAGAAATATAAATTCAAATCAACCCCTAGCTGCATTCGAACATATAACGACTTTGGACGGCCTTAACACGAATAGGAATAAGAAATATTTAGTCAATGCATATGCAAGTTTGACAGAAAAAAAAGTATTCCTGAGAGCACTAGTAATTAATCAACATGCATTCAAAGTGCATTTTTCTGATACTTGTTATAAATCACGATCAAATAACCCGTCAAAGACATTAACAACAGGTCTCATTAAACTCTAGCCAGTATTACAAATGAAAAAAGGAGGCCCTCATACACCCAAAATCAATTTCGATGATGTATAAATGCACGATCATGCAAACGTAGAGGGCGATCAATTAAGTTTTCAAATAAACCAAAATAATACTGGAGCCTTTTAATAACTGTTTCATCACCCTAAAGGTAAGAAATGGAGATGCAATGTACTTATAATGTATTTTTAAGTGCAAACATTAATAATTGGGGTTTAAAACTTTACAGTGCGTATGCATAATGAATAATAAATCAGAAGATAGATTATTTTTATTATAAGTATTGTTAAGGGATAATTATAAATGAAACACTGCAAAAAATTGTATTTGACTATCATTCTGTATCACAGTTATACATTATAATCTCGCTGATATATTTTTTTTCTTAAAACAAGACCTTTGAAGACATACTAGGATTGCTAGAATAGTTTGCGGACAAGTTTTATCATAAGAAAGCTATTTGCATGAAATTACAATTTTAAAATAAGAACTGTGTATATTTTCTAATAAATATGCAAGGGTCTGGGTTTTTTCGATGCTGTATATCGTATAAGCAGAATTAGAGAGGATTTCATTTTGGAATTATTGGAAATAAATGAAAATAAATAATTGCGTATAAGTTGCGAATTGCTTCTTTAATGGACACTTTTGAACCTTTAAATGTACTTCTCGCTAATAATAAATTCAAGTTTTATGGGAAAAATCACAAAGATTTTCGACAGTTACAATACTTCTCAAACCAAGGCTCACAATATATGCTGTGCTCTTGTACTTATAATTATGTCATCCCGAACGAGATCAGGGACAACATATTGCGATTGCACGCATGTTTTTGTCTCCAGGCTGTTCCTCAGAGATTCCTCGGAAAATAGTCCTAAAACTTTCCTCAAAGGACGATCATTTGTTGTAGCTGTGTTGTGTGGTCATTCATTTTTTAAATTGCAACCGTTGCCAGGGAAACCTGGAAAAAGCGACTAATTTTGTCCGCGAGTGTTCTCTCTGGTTACTAAAACATTCGTCATAAAACTTTATTTAAGTGATTAGTAATTGTAGTTGTGCGATTCGCATTTAAAATTTTCAAATAATCGATTATTGCCATGGAAGCCATAGGGAAATTGAAAAATCTTGAATTTTGATTTTTTTTAAAATCAAAGTACTTTGAGGACTGATACGAATTGATGGTTGTCTAAGCTTTGCTAATAGATATTTCTAATTAAAAATGAAATAAATATTTACTTGAAAATATTCATTTTATTAAAAAGATATAAAAACAGAGATTTATCTTAGTAAAAATAAAAAAAAATTCTAGATGTATTTATCATAACCTTTCTTTAATTGTATTTTTTTCTAAATAGTAACTATTGGCTGACAAGAAAATAGAAGGTTTAAGTAATTCCAGAAAAAAAAGCAGTCGTAAATACCTTTAAAATTAAAATACGCAATACATTAGACCGATTTACAGTGCTTACTAACACTGCCTTTTTTATTATTTAAAATTTTTAATGTTAACGGTTTGATGAATAAAATAAGGGTTTTTATTTTCTTTTTTCTTTTGAAAACAAATGCGGAAAATCTAAACCCTCGGAAAAAATGGCCAATATTTAAAAAAATATGAAAATGTTGTTGACTTATTAGTTTTGATACAATTTTATCACGTTTTCAATAAAAAAGATTTTTTTTTTCCGGTAGGACTTTATTTTGTTAATGAAATAATCATGAAATATCGGTTTTTTCCAGTTTGTCCTAATGGCTGGCTTCCTTTTAATGGACATTGTTATTTTTTTCAATATGACTGCAACCAGTTGGAACAAGGCCAAGGTAATTTTATTTTACAATTAACAAGATTTCTCAAAAAAGTATTCGAGTTTGTAATTACAAAACCATATTCTAACGCCGTAAGACTTTGAAAAATTTTATTGAGAAGAACACACCATTACCTTTAGAAGTATTTCTTCACAAATAAATTCTATTTCATTTATAAGAAATAGAATTTCTTTACTTATATTTTTTGAAATTTCTCTCTTTATTTTATTTAATTTATTTAAAAAAAGAAATGAATTAGCACTTCATGAAAAATATCCCAGGGTAACGCGATATAGTTCATAAACATCACAAATCTTCATAAATTAAATTCATTTCGTACATGTGTAATTACATTTATTTTCTGAATAGTTACCACAATTTACGAAATCAAACTGTCATTTTAAAGCGAAACACTTTACACATTTTGACCTCAAGCACGGTATTATTACGTAGCAATGGAGATATTTATGCTCATTCGTGGTAGTTCATGAGAAATTGAACAAAATTCTAATTTGAAAGAAATGTTACAGAAAAATAATTGGCAATGTATACGTAAATACAATGTTAGATATTTTACTTTATACAGCATGATAACATGAATAAATATATATTGGTTTTTGATTTTTATGCCCCCGTCAATGACGTTTCGGGAGTATATAGTTTTTGTCGCGTCCGTACGTCTGTCTTTTTGTCTGTTTCTATGTTTGTCAGCGTCTCCATATGGATAAAAAATTCTTGAGAGCGACGTTAAACAATTTCTATACAATCAATCAACTGTCTGTTAGTCCGCAAAATCTTTAACCTTGCCAATAAAGTTTGATTCTGTTGACCTATGACATTCATATTTCACATGTATATTACTTGTGACAAGACCTTTCTTTGGGTATCACCAATATCTACCTTTTGACCTTGGAGTTTGACCCACTTTTGCACAAAATTTTAAACTTTTACTTTGACTATATATTTTTAACAATAGATACCAGGAAATTCATACTTAATAAATGTATTTTTTCTGTGGAAATACCTTTTATTGGATACAAACAACCTTGACATTTCGACCTTGACCATGGAGATTTCAATACTTATGAAAATAACTTTAACCTTGGCTATACGTTTTGAAAAAAAAGAGCTAGGGCTTTCATACTTCACTTATGTTATTTTTGTGAGAAAAAACTTCATTGGATACCAGGAAGTGTTACCAGGAAGCGTGACCTTTTGACCTTGGATTTTGACCTACTTTAAACATACAATCTTTACCTAAACTTTTAAAGTGTAGGACTAGTGTTTTCATACTTCACATGTTTAATCCTTGTGACAAGACCTTTCATTTGATACCAAAAACCTTGACCCTTCGACATTGCCGTTTGAGTTTGACCAACTTTAAAACAAAAAAAAAATGAATTTTTACATAGGCTCTAATTTTTAAAAAGTAGTTACTGGGAATTTCAAATATCTTTTTTTTTGGCAAGACCTTTCATTTAAATCCGAGAATTTTGAATTTGACCTTGAAGATTTCTATACTAACAAAAACAATTTAATCTTGGCCATAACTTTTGAACGGTATTTGCTAGAGCTTTTATACTTCAAATATGTAATGCTTGTGAGGAGACCTTTCATTGGATATTAATGACATACTAATTGACATTCACCTATACATTTGACCTACTTTTTACAAACATTAACATTGACCCTTTCTTTTGAACAGTAGGGGGTCGAGCTTTCATATTTCACAAATATAATCCTTATAATAAGACCTTTCATTTTATACCAAGAACCTATACCATTTGACCATGACTTTGGAGTTTGACGTTTAGAAAAACTTGAACCTTGGCCATAACTTTTAAACGGTAATGCTTTTATTCTTCCCATATATAATCTTTGAGACAAGGTCTTAATTTAGAAATCAACAACCTTGACCCTTTGACATAGACCCTGGATTTTTTCACCTTTTAAATCATAAACCTTGGTCATAACCCTTGAACAGTTGGTGCAAGGGTTTTATATTTCACATTTGTGTTCCTTCTGTAAAGGCCTTACTTTAGGTACCAACATATTTGATCTGCATTTGAAAAAGCGTAACCTTCGCTCTGTTGCCATACTAAAACTAATATTTGTGATAATTCGCCAATTTCAATAAACTGTGTGCTTTTTAGCTAATGTTTTAGCGAATATACCACCAAAATCTGTCCCTGTAATCTGGTGTCATTTCTATCTGTTGCAACCAAAACATTTAATGATAGACAATGAAATGGGCGGGTACAATTCGAAGCGTACGACCGATAAAAAAAACATTAGACTGAAATTCTAGTTTGAAAATTAATTATCAAGCCATTTGAGCTGATTTCAAAATAATTGAGAATGTATAATCCCAAAAAAAAAACATAGCATTTTTATTCCCAAATACATGTTGATTGAAATTTATATTGATGTGAGTTTATAGCCTATAATATAATCTTAAAGGCACCGGTAAAAGTCTTTTTTTTCAGGAGACAGCCATTTGATTTTAGAATCGGGGGGTGTCAAAAATTTTTGAGTCAGATCATGCTTTGTACCAATTAATTTTTTGGATAACAAGAGTATGTTTAGTCTTGTCTTCAATGAGAAATGTTGACTTCTTTCTTTTTTTCATTTCCATGATCGACCCGCCCCACCCCACCCCCCCCCCCCACCCGCCCACCAGCGCATACATTCCTTCAGTACCGACCAGACCCAACCTGACACCAAAGTAGTCCCAGGAAGCAGTCCCCAAGGACTGCTTTGGGACTGCTCTGAGACTGCTGTGGGATTGCTCTGGGACGGCCATGGGACTGCTCTGTGACTGCTATGAAAAAAAGTCCCAGCTGCTCCTGGGACTGTTTTCTTGGACTGCTCTGTTCAATCATAAGTGAAAAAGGTTCTGAGTGACATGATAGCTCCGCCCCTTTGAGTATTATGAATTTGCAGACTCCCTGTTGTTTTGTTTTCCTGTAGAAGAAAACTATTAAAAAAGCAAGGATTTCTTACAATCTTTTAATAAATAGAGATTATTATGGTTATTTTTTTTTATTTTCAGGGACTGTATTCTTACACAAATTAATGTATAATTTAGAATAAATAAAAAAATAAAGTTTTTAAATAAGGAAGTCATGAGAAAAATTGTCAACCCTTAAAAAATAAACTACATCAAAACTCGTTCACAAGGAACACGGATAGTACGAATTTACGGATATAGCGAAGTTAATTTGGATCCGCAACTATATAAATTTAATTAATTTCTTATACGTTTATAACGAATTACGAATATAACGATGTAATTTCATGGGTCCCAGTGACTTCGTAAAAACCACGTTTTGCTGTACAGGTTTATGAGAAAAAAATAGTTACATGTGAAGTTTTTTTTTTATATTTAAGTGTAAAATAATGTACTCAAATATTGCATTATTACTATTTAAAAATAATCATTACAGTTAGATAATAAGATTTTCGATTGAAAAGCAACACGTTTTACAAGGACCACGCTAAAAAAAGAGTATTTCTTGTAACCCTCAAATAAAAAAAAACAAATTATTAAATGATCATGAAATAAAATTATTATACCATTCTTCGGTAACATAAAAATGTAGAAAATCATAAGGGAATTAATCAACGAATTTACAGTATACGTAGCTTTTAATAAACAAGTTATTTAAAGAGTACACTTATTAAAAAACATTTGAAAATACTGGGAATTGTGATTTGATTCTTTTTTGTTTTGTTAGTGTTTACCTGACCGATATTATAAAATGGTATCCACACCGGTGTTTCAATTGCCTTTGGGCAGAAAATCAATCCATGTTAATTGGGTATTTGTATCAGCGTTACATATCATTGAACATGCAGGTAAACAATGACCCTAATTTCAATTAATGTAATACGAAAAAAAATGTGATAAATGAAATAAAATTTCTTGCCGGATTTTTTTATTTAAAACATAATCTGAGGTTTCCATTCTGGTGATATATAGACGACACTCTAACATTTACAAATAAAACACTTAAATCTGAGTTTTATAAAACTATAGAAAAATTAACGATGATTAAATTAACATATCAGTAAAAATAATCTTGACTGAAAAATACTTGTCAAAATTGACAAAGTATTTTTTAAAAGCCCTAGCTCTTCAGACAATTCCTTCAGAGTATTCTGATAGTATGGAATAATAGTATTGAAAGCTTATTCTGGTGGAAATAATTTTCTGTATAAAAAAAATATAAATATAGAAACAAATTTCAATCACAGAAGAATTATTAATATACCCGATAATTGTGATTTAATATTTGTGTTCAGTGTAATTCATATATGAAAATGTAGGTGTGAAAGCCATCTTCCTCCAATAAATATTATAATTTCAATTTCTATGCGCCTACTGTTAATAAATGACCTTCGCATACATGTAAGGATTCCTGGCCTACCACCCAAAATCAATATCTACTGGCTTTTATAGTTCCGTTGGTTATTGGAAATCTCATTTCTGAGTTAGCTCCGTACATTAAATTGATAAACCCCGCCCACTGGGACTGCTGGGACTGCTTTCTGAGACTGATTGGACTGCTCTCTGGAACCGCTGGGACTGCTAGAACCGCTGTGGGACTGCTGGGGGACCGCTGTGGGACTGCTTTACTCCCTGGGAATGCTTTCTGAGACTGCTTTGTGTCAGGTTGGGTCTTGTCGGTACTGTTAATTGTACCAAAGAGAAATCAAATATTTGTCACTTCATATACTTCTTTAAAACGCTGGACAGAAATTTCTGATTTACTAAGCAGAAACAAAGTATTTGTCCCTTCATTTTCTGATTGATATTTTTTTACACTATACCGAAATTGAAACTATATGTCTTCCGAATAAATCAGTGATAATGTACCTTCTAGTGTATCTGAGGTTGATTAAAATGAATTTAAAACTCTAATTTCAATTCCATGTTTTTTTTCGGCCGTCCGCTTCGAATTGTACCCGCCCATTTCATTGTCTATCATTGAATGTTTTGATTGTAACAGATAGAAATAATGTTAGCTGCATATTTCCAATCTTGCCAGTTAATGTTTCGCGGTCTAGGATATCCTTGTCACCATCTCTCCATAAAAAGCAACATGTACTTGTTTGTCTAATAAATAAATATAAATTAATGTTCGTTTTGACTGATGAACAGTGTTACAATGTTGTCATACGTGTTTTGAAAATATGATATTAAAATCCATAAACTTTAAATGCAGATAGGTTTATTTTCTCAATTAAGTACCTGGGCAATGCAGTTTGTGTTTTTCTCTGGAGTTGAAGAGTTCCAAACCTTACAAGAACTGAATGCTACATTTTGATGCCAACATATGCTAATATACCTACACTTTAAATCAAATTTGGATACACAAAACATCTAAATTATGCATTACAGTTGAGGTTACAAATGGAAATATCGGCGATTTTTTTAGATAAAAAAACACATATTTATAAGAATGGATGATTCTTTAATAACTTCAGTGATATAAAAAATGTTATTTGGTGCAAATCTACATGATGAAAACATTTAAATTTTTCATTTAGACGTGTCACGTGATGTCGAAGTCACATGATTTTAGCAACTATACTTGAAGTTTCGAGGTCGTCTATAAATTCCAATATTGCAAGGGCATAACCAAATTAAAAATCTTAATTTAATTAATTTTTTTTTTCAACACTTTATTAAAAGTGATGCGAACCTATATAAATTTTCTTATTTAATTGCTAAATTTTAATTTGCTAGGCGGCAGGTTGAATATTTTGCTTATCAATAACATTAAATATACTTATAATTCATTTATTTGTAAGATATCATGAGGTTCGCAGCACTTTCCAAATACCTTAATGCTTCTTGAGTTTATGGGTAAAAACTTTTCCGATGAATATGCAGACAAACAAACGCCAATATCACTTTTTTGCAAAAATATACGGACAGTTTATAAATAACATAGTAAACTGGACATCGCATCCAAGAGAACTGCCTTTTCTTCAGCTTCAAATAATATTTTATTGAAGAACAACATATATTTTCCATTGTGCAAAATGTGACTTGTTCAGCCCCTCACTGTGAACTAACTGCGTCATTTTGCGAGATAGGGTCACATTAACAAGTGCATTGCAATCGATGCATCGTTTATATATTGTTGTCTGGGATTTAACAAACGAAAACATTACATGTAATGGTTAGTTTTATGCAATCTAAGCTATCTAGCAGTTTGAAATAACAAATAATATCATTTTGTGTTACTTTGAAGACCTTTTATTTTGTATGACGTCATAGTAAACATTTCCCGTACAAATTAGACCCCAACTAGTTACTGTAACCTTAACTGTGCTTCGTATATGTTTAGTAACTTTGGGGGCATTCTCTTTTGAATTAATATATACGAATGTTCATTTTAAAAAAAACACTTGGAAAATATGCCTAATTTCTGTCTATGAACTTCTGATAGAACTATAATCTTAGATTTAAATCATCTTGAAAAAAATATTCGTAGGTAAGGTGCGTTGCAAGTGTTTTGACAAATGAAGAACTATTTGAGATATTTTTATGCTGTTGTTGCTTCTTTATGATGTTGGCAAATGCAGTGGGCAACGAAAGCCTGAATGTTAATTCGAAGGTCGGTACGATCACCAGACAAGTTACACAATGGATGAAAATCTAATGCCAATCAAATCAAAGTATCCAATCCCAGGTTTAATTTTAGATGATTGACAGGGAATTCAAGGCTAGGTTTATTTGAAAAAGATGCTAATTTTCTTCCCCCTTTAAACATTTTTACATCTGATAACAAAGAATTATTAATACATTTATGTCGTATTGTCGCCAGCATTGAATCTACTGTCGCGAAGTAAAGAGTTGGTACTTATGTCACAAGTTTGAATTCCACAATGGCCACATAGACAGGCCCTTTAGATGATACTGTATAAATCCAGGCCCCTTGTCCCAGCAGGTGTTTAAACAAAAAACGTTCTCTCACTGCTGAATGTTAATGCTCAGTAAATGACAAAATTAGCAGCTTCCCAGTGGCAGATCGTCGAAGTTTTTCCAGTTGTGTCAAAAATTATCGAGAGGAATGTTGATCAATAAACAAATACACATACATGTTTGGAATATTTTTCCCTAAGTCAAAGAACTGCATATTATTCATTTACAATTTATTTTATATTAAATTTATTCAGTTTCCTCTGACTAACAATGGGGATATATTTTTTTTTCTCTGCTTTGATATTATAATTTTTAACAGAAATTGTGTCAAGTGAATGGGGCTGAGCTTATACAAGTGGAAAATTATGATGAAATAAACTGGATTAAGGAAACTTTTCTTTCGAATTCGAATCAAGGTAAGAGATATTAATTACTAGTTTATCGATATCATTATACAGGTGTATATGTCTCACGCGCTTAATTACATCAGGGGAAAAATCACATCAGTAATATCATACAGTTATAGAATGGGTACGAGGAAAATAGCAATAGAAATGCAAACATCTGCTCATTATTGTTCGGAAAGCATTAAATAACTTTAGGTTATAAGGAATTATACGGTATAAACTTGGTTGGGACAGTGTACGCTTTATAAACCGCGAAGCTGATATTAAATTCAATTCTTATGATTTAATTTTCATTCATTTGATGGAAGAAAGAAAAGATGATTGTTCTCACAAAATGACTTCAATTTGTACAAAATTGGAACGTAACATCAAGAGGATTGATATGTTTTTGACGAAAGTCATTGTGACGTAAGCAACCCAATTTACATGATAAAAGTAAATTTATTTATCCGATCAAATACAGAGTTTCATTGGAATTAAATTATTAATAAATACAATTAATGTGTCTGATTAGGTCAGGTGTCCGGAGGTCTGAATTAAAATTTTGCTTTTAACCTTCTGATTCTAGAGTCATTTTGTTTTATTTTCAGATGAATGTCTCCAGAATTGCTGTGGAGTTTGGTATAAAGCGCCAGATATAGAAAGTGGAAACTTCTATCCCCCTTTCAAAAGTGATATTTCTTTTGAGAACTTTAAAAAACTACGGTCCAATAACCGTCCTTTTACACATTGTGCCATATTTTGTATCGACGATCATTTGGATTATGATACCTGTGGTGCCAGACTTGCATTTATTTGTGAAAAAGAATTATCATATAATTAGGTTCAACATGCAAGTAATTCCATATGTTTTTTTTTATTTATCTTCTTCTGTTTATTTTCTTCTACAAATCAGAGGAAGCGCCAAAATTTGACTGATATATGGTATAAGCCGAATTTTTAGCGAGGTCACATCGATTGGAAATAACAAATGAAAGTTATGTACACTTGCTGAAATTTATTTAAATAAAAAAAATATTATATATATTATTGATAGTACACATACATGCAAAACTTTAGCAGTCGCCATTATGGGAGATTGGAAAAAACTTCATTCGGTAATAACCAATATTTGCCCCCCAAATCAAACTTTGATGAAGATATATTTAATTAAGTTCTTAAACAGGGGAGTATATGCTGACTTCAAAGCACTGAATATTTTCATAAGTAATGACGCCATATGTACGTAATGACGTCACAAACATGACGAAAATTTCAGTTTTTTTATGAATTTTACAGAAAAATGTACATATTTCGTCGATATTTTGAGTAAAAGTCACCGAGCGCATGTGTGTTCAGGATCAATATTTTGATATAATGTGTAGAATAATAATATCAATGAAATATGTCAATATTGTTCCTGAACAAACTTGCGCTCTTTAAATTTTAAAGCTAAACTTGTTGAAATTTTGTCCTTTTGTCATCTTTCTGAAAAAGGATATAAAATCGGACTAGTTTGTGAAGTCATAAAAACAAAAATTGTGAATACACTGCTTTGACACTATTACATTTTCTGTTAATTTATATTTTCCATAAAATTTATTGAATTCAGCACATTTCAGGAAGTTTTCAAAATTTGACTTTTGTGGGGGCAAATATATGCAATATACCGCATATAGTTCTTTACTCAATCATTATCATTTCAATTATTAATATTAAAAGTGTGGAAAAACGCACAAATGAGGTGAAAATATGATTATTTTTAATTTAAAGATAGTTTGACCTCATTTTAACTTATTTGTGAGAATCTAACTGATTGTATTGTATATTAATTTATCTGTTATTGATCTTTTTTGTTCGTTGTGGCAATGTTAAACAAAATTCGGTGAATTTATAAATTTAGTGAAAATTACGGAAAAACTCTGATTGAATGGCAAATACTACTGATACAAAATAGACATAATACTATAGGAACCTAATTTCACGGATTATTATTAAAATGATTTTAATATTCGGTATCAAGATAAATGGATGCAAGAGCAAAACCCTGATTTTTTTCAAGAAAAATAATGAATGAAAAAGCAGTGATACATTGATTTTTTTAGTTGTTTTTGATGCGAGGGTGAGATACTCTAAAACGTGACATGACATACATTTTTTGAGGTTATGTTGAAGTATCTCCCGGTTTTTTCAACTGCCTATGTTAACAGACCTTCTGTGTATTTATTGGTAATTGTAACCTGCAATTCAATTAAATATTAATTAATTTGTTTGTAAAATAGTTTTTTCAGGTGATTTAGAAGAATAGTTGCATTTTAAAATCGCAAAAATTACTTCTCGCTGTAAATAAAATACCAGGTTTAGGTAGAAATCGCTAAATTTGCGTCTTGCTAAAATTTTCACTCTTACGGTATTTATGTTCCTTAGTTCTCATGCCAGACAACTAGGTCTGTTTTCCTGTTTTTTTTTCTTTTTTATAAAGCAGGCAAAAAATTTGTGTGGAAGTACACAAAAAATGTCATTTATAGAAGTAAATCACAAAAAGTTAAAAAAAATGCTAAATTGCTGCGTTCTGTCAAAGCAAGTGAGTAAATGAAAATGAAACACAACAACACATATGATAATAATTTTTTTGCAGAAATTTCAGACCTTACGTTTAATTTATACCAAACTTTATTTAAATCTACATTTACCAGTATCCTTTTTGAAGGTAATTAATTACTTAACCAAAAAATTCAATCCAAAATAATTATTATTTTTAGATTCGAGTGGAACTTTTATGCCAGGTTAAAATTTATTTAACTAGTTTTGCTTTATAGTATACAAAGGCATTCTTTTTTTTTTTTTTTTTTTAGAGAAATACAAAAATGTTTGATACATCAGGCATTGGTGCATCGGGAGAAATTAGTCAGAAGCTGATGGAATATTTGCCAAATTCTGTTTCTTTCATCTTTGTAATAAATGTTCCAAGCGCAGGCGGGAAGCAGCACGACAGGGTTATTTCGAATTAAGAGAAAAATGAAAAAAAATTAAATCTTATTTACCTTCTTGAATTGGGTAAAGATTTATTCACTGTTATAATTTTTTTTTTTCATGACATGCTCCAATAGATTTTAGAATTATTTTTTCATTTCATCGTCGCAAACCACGGCCAAAATGTACGCTCCTCTCCCATTCTGGCCGTGGTTGAACGAGGAGAGATTTCTTCGTAGCTCATTAAAATATTGACCAATGCGAGTAAAGCATAGTCGGAAGATGAACTTTATCGCGACCTTTCAATATCCAATCGCAGTAAAGGAAATATTTCTTGTATACTGTTGACGTCAGTTGTTGATTTCAATTGCGATGGAAACAAAACTTGCCACTGACTGAATATGACGTCACAATAGAGAAGCGTAAATATTCAAGATTACGACACTTTTTATGATCAAGCAGCCACGGGTAGGAGAGAGCTATATGTGGACTCCGGACCGTGGCTTGAGACGATGTCTTCATTTAGGCGTACTAAAAATTTGTTGATAAATGATTTTTTTTTTCATCAAACGAGTTATGTATATTCTTCAGCTAGAAGAAAGAGGATATCATTTTTCCTAATTGTTTTGGCTACATGTCACTGGATACTCACTTGTATGTATTTGTTCGAAAAAATTTGATGTCTCCTCTTTGGACAAAACTTTTATCTGATAAAAGAGAGCATTCTGAAAATTTATGATGATACATGTATACAGCACCAGAATGACGTGCACAGTGTTCTCGAAATATGGATTTTTATTATATTGTGCTGGGAAGTGTTCAGTCGAACATTGTATAATTTAGCGAATAACATATATGATATGATGTTTCTTCTTTGTAAAGATCTCTCTCATAATAAAAATTAATTTGCATCCAGAAAATCAAAGAGGGTATATATATATATATATATATATATATATATATATATATATATATATATATATATATATATATATATATATATATATATATATATATGAAGCGCATGAAACAAGTGCACCTTTAGAGATAGTACATGAATGTAGTTTTGGTAAAAATTGTTGCATCACAACCTTTTTTGCCATAAACATGTACACTGGACAGATGATTTATTGAACCCTCTTCCCCACAGTCACTTTTTTAAAAGCATATACCATTTTCTATCTATTTTTCTAACTTTTAAATATTTATCTTTGGAGTGGGATGTGACCTTTCCTTTGCAAAAACTGAATCTCATTTATCCAAGAATGCTTTGTGGCAAGTTTGTTTAAAAAATAGGCCTGTGGTTGTTGAGAAGACGTTGAAATGAAAAGGATAAAAGGGACATACAGGCAGACAGCTAGACAGGAGAACGACTAAGTCCGGACAAAATGGGATCAGAAAAGCCCACTTGAGCCTTTGGATCAGGTAAGATAAAATTAAATTCATCGGGGAAACTAAACAAAAATCTATGGGTCACTTTTCAAGCCAAACTCTACTCTTATTAAACGAGACGAATGCTAAATGATATCACATAAATAATAAAACTTCTTCTTCAATTGTATTATATTGATATGAGGTTAACATTTCTTACCTAGAGAATGCATTGGATAAAAAAACAATTGTTGCATATTTATTTAAGGAGAATTAAAACTCTCTGAGATGATGATACAGTAATGTACAGTTTGATTCGTTTAAAACCTAATTTGTTATATCCACTATAATGTTGATGCCTTTAAAAACACAGAGGATTAAAAATTAAAAATAACTTTGCTGACAAGCATAAATTCATGATAAGTGTGTTCGCTTTAACTGTAATGGTATAATCAAAATTCGATCTTTAATAAACAATACTTTAAGTCACTATAGAAGATTTGTTTCGCCACAACTTTGATTTCAAAAAAACTATGGTATATTACTTGGGCAACCAGATTTACTTTTAATTCCGTGAAAAGTTCGGATTTTTTTTATATCAAAAGGTTATATTTTTCAATGTCTGAATCAAAATTTATCAATAATGATTAATTTATTAAGGAGATGACGCATCTTAGATAAATATTACAAAAAACTGTAAAGATACATATTTTCGTGGGATCAGATTTTCGTGGTTTGAGGAAAAACTCCTGGTCCGTGGGGATTTGATTTCGTGGATGTTGAATTGTTGAATATATATGTATGTAACATTTTATATTTCGTGGTGGACATGAATTCTTGTGTCTCTTTAACCCCGAAAACAACGAAAATTCAACCCCGACGAAAATTTGTAATTCCACTGTACATACATAACTTATTTTAATATGTTGTTTTCAAAGTCATTAAATGTTAAAATTTGAAAATTCTTTTATTAATCATTCAAAATGATGTAAACATTACATATATACATTTGTACATTTCAATTTTTTGCCTAGAATGAATATTGTGAGGTGGAAAATCGTAAGCATGGTAATTGGCCCTTTTTTGCAATGTCTTGGAGTAAAAATTAAATAACTGAAGAAAATAAAATAAATTCAAAAAGGGTTCGGGTACGTGTATGTACACTTGCATAAGTTTAAAATTATATTGTAAGGAAATTAAAGCACATTTTTTGTACAACGAGAGTCTTGTTTTACAATTGTCGTAGCTAGGACGTTAGTAATATCCGCTGTTAACAAGTCTAGTGTATGGCATCAGAAATTAAGGACCTCTTTTTTTAAATGCTACTGAAAATGGTTTCCTCTTCTATTGAATACTTTCTGGACACTGTCGTGGCCTTCTGCATAACATTTTGGTGTTTTGCCATGAATATCAGTCCGTTTGAGATGTCGTGATTCATACAGAAGTTCTGCCAACTTTGCATTTCCTGTTTTGCATGCAATATGGAATGGGATTTTTTTCTCTATATCTTCTACGGATGTATTACATAAATGATTAATCAATTCGGCTGCGATTTCTGTATTGTTATTCAGACATGCAATATGTAAAGGTGTCTGATTTTTATTGTCTGTAACATCAATGTTAGCTCCATGCTGTATCAATATTACAACTAAATGAACAGCTTTATCATTATTCAATGTGCAAGCAATATGCAGAGGTGTTTGTTTTTCATGGTCACGTGCATTAACTCTAGCACCACTCTTGGCCAGTGTTTCAACTATTTCAATAGTTTTGGCATTACTCGATAAGCAAGCAGTATGCAAAGGTGTTCGGCTTGCACTGTCGATAGCATTAAGAGGAACTTCACATTGTATTAAACTTTCAACAATATCTAGCAAACCAATCCCTGATGCTATATGTAGCGGTGATTTGTCATTTGATGAATAGGGGACCGTTTCAGCGTATTCAATCAAAGTTGAAAAATTTTCAATACCACATGTTTCAATGAAACCTTGTATTATTTCATTAGAATTTTTTGTTACACGAAAATTCACTGAGGGTTTCTGGATGCATTTTTCCAATAGCTTCTTATATATCTCATAGGGATATATTAACATGAAATACAGCAATATTCCTTTTGATTCATTATTAAAAGCGACACCTACGGGAGAGTCATCAAAGCTATTGAATACTTCCAAATTTGCACCTTCTTTTGCTAACACTTTAGTAATATTTATATTATCTCTAACGCATGCAATATGCAATGGAGTATTAAAGCTACTGTCCCTTGCATTCAGATTTGCCCCGCGACGGATTACGGTTTCAACAACATCAAGCAACCCATGTTCGACTGCGATATGCAAAGGAGTTTTACCATCAAATATTGTTTCGTGAACATCACTTTTTTCCAGAATGGATTTAAGACTGCATGGAGGACAATTTTGTAGAATAGTTTTCAGTAATTTGTTTGAAACTTCAGCCATATTACAGCGAGAATACAAAATCATTGAAGAAGATTTTTGCAATTTTGCGGATGGACATTGATCAAGTAGTGCTTTAAACTCTTCAAGATTGCTTTCAATCAAGATAGTTTGCAAAATATCTAAAGAATTTCTTTTCAATGCAATGATAAAGGGATTTTCGTTCATTGCATTTAGTAAATGAAAGTCGGCACCAGCTTTTAAAAGTGATTTAACGATTTCTACTTTGTTTCTTGAGCAGGCAATGTGTAATGATGTCACCTTGTTTTCATCTGCAGCATTAACATTTGCTCCACGTCGAATTAAAGTAGCAACAACATCGCTAAATCCTTCCTGTGCTGCAAAATGTAATGGTGTTTTGCCATCATGATTTGTACTCAGGACATCACAGTTTTCCAGGATTAATTTTAAAAGTTCAACATCACTTTCCCTTTCCATTACAAAAGGAGATAGTCTTTCATGATCTACTTTAATCAAAGGACATTTTTCCAACAAATACTTTATTATTTTCTTTGAACCACTTTTCACTGCAAGAAGTAAAGGAGACTCATCCTTTTCATTGCATTTGGCAACATCAGCACCTTTTTCTACTAGAATCTTGACTATTTCAAAAACACCCAGTGAGCAGGCAAGTGTGAGTGGCGTTTCAAAATGATAGGATGTTGTTTTAATATATCTCTCAAGTTCATTGTTTTTTATTTGAGATAGTGCAAAAGTAAACATCTCTTCTTTCATACTGTAGATAGAAAGCCAAAACAGTCGATCAGATTCAATTTTTCTTTTTCTTGGAAAAAACCAAAGTATTCCTTGATATGACGTTGACAGAACAATTTGTAAGATGTTTAAATGTCCTTTGAAAACAATCCAATCAATAAATTTAGTAACACCTCCTTCAGACACTCCTGGCATTCCCTTTAGTTCATATTTTTCCTTCACAAGTAGGTCTTCTTTATCAAGCCATGAGCAGGGTCTCTTAGACTTATTAGAATTTTGTTTCGCTTTCGGAACACTGTATGATTTTAACAGCAACTCCGCTATGTTCTTTGATCCAACAGTTTTTAACAAAGTGTTGATGAAATCTTCGTCACTCCAGCATTTGTGAGTGAAAATTGCATTCACAGATCGGACATCGAGATTAAATTGAACTATCCCCCGAAGAGTGTGACATAACCTCTGACATAAAACTTCATAGTTATTTGGGGAAATCTTTACCTGAAAATCTCTTCCAGGAGAGCCCTCGACTCCTGTAAAAGTGTTATTTGCGAGATATTCTATGTCTATATATTTGAGAAGCAAAATTTGATTTTCTTCATCTTGACCAAAATGAAACGCAAAAATTTCAAATAGAGAATCATGTAGAAATTTAAAACCAAATTCTGTTTTCATAACATATGTGTTTTCTGAATGCTGCAGTTTCTCTCGTATTTCTCTGCTAAGTGGGTGATGATCAATAATATTGCATTTAATAAAGATCTCGTTTAGAAGCTCCCTGTTTTTTAGTTTTTCGTCCGTAAGGTTGTTGTTGGTTAACATGAGAATAACCAAAGACGAATACAATACTTTTGAACTCTCGGATTTACTCATAGTATCTAGTTCGTCAAGAAGATATTTTCGATGATCGAGGACCTTTTGTGGGGCTTTTGATTTCAACACTTCCTCTCTGTTTTGAAACAAAATATAGCACATGAGGGGAAACATTATATTTGCTCCCTCTAATGATGACTCATCAACTAACCTTTCAATACCGTATGTTTCTAAGATCTTCCGTTTTTCAATATTGTTCAAGGCGTGATCCTTGTGTTCAATGTCGATAACATTAAATTCGTCAAAAACATGATAAGGTTTAGCTTCATTGTATACAACTGTACGACATGTTATAATTAATTTGTGATTTTCCTTGCCAAAAAGCTGTAATACAGTACTGCGGCATTGCATCAATTCTGTCGTTCTCCTGTCATCGAGACCCAAACTTCCAAGAGGATCATCTAGAATAAAAACGCATTTTCCTTCAATACATTTGCTTTTGATTTCCCTTATTTCATCAATTGGCATCAGCTGCCAACCTTCATTTTGGAGCTTTAAGCCACAGTGTCTTGCCGTTGCTGTCTTCCCTGACCCACCTCCCCCAATAATTATAACTAGCTTCTGGTTTTTGATAACACCGAACACTTTTTCCACCGACCTTAATTCGCTGCAGAATAATATGTCCTGTGACGTCCATTCTGTTATGCATTTCCTGTTTGTGTCTAAAAATAATATTAATAATAAATATACGTTTACCAGAAGAATTACCACATTTTTTTCTGTGTGCTTATCCTTATTTAATAGTTCCAAGAATAGGACAAGAAATGAAATTTTTCAAGGTTCTTTATGATACTGACGGATAGTTATCAAAATGGAGATAAATATTTAGTATGTGATCGAAATATAAATTTGGGACACAATTATATATTTTTTATTGAGAAAATATTATCGAAAATCGAGTTTTTAAAAATCTCTTAGAATTCACCATGGATCGGACATTATTTATCATGCATCGGACAGACGGTATTTGGACAGGGAAAATATACCTTTATCATAGTGCTTTAAAATCCTTGATATGGATATTCTTTTATATTTTATCTAAGAAAAAACCCTCAAATTAAATTTAGTTGACGATATCGTTGCACAAATATGGAAAGATTCAAGATCCCTTAATCTGCCAAAGATAGGCTTTAAATGCTTGTAATGCGGTAACTCGCACCTTTTTCTCATGAGTTCAAATACTCTGGTTTGTAGAAATTAATTGAGTCAGATTCTAGACGTAAATATCGATAACTTGTATTTTGACTCTAAATTTAGAGTTTTTATTTTCTATTTCCTCAAAAAACAGGTGTCAGTTTGGTTCTGTATGAATATGGCGGGGATAAACTTTGCATCAGAAAGTGTCCGATGCATGGTTAATTTGTGTCCGATGTACGGTGAAATGAGTATACTCGTAAAACCAGCTCTAAGAATTAAACAAACAGTGAGTGAAATTTCTTTATAATTTATGTAGAATTACCCATCCCTGACAAAATTCACCCAAGTCCGACACGTTCCGTGGAAGTCGAATTGAAAGAACGATAACTCTAAAAATATCAAAATCTTAATTCTTTGATTATTCCCCTTTGATGATGTAAAATATGACGTAACTTGAAGGCCATTCTCGGGGTATTTTTATCAAAAGATAATATTAACTAAAAATTGGTATTATCAAAAAATTTAAATCCCCAGCTTCAAGTCAGAAACAAATAAATATACAAAACTCTGAAGTTGAAAGAGAATTTAATGCCTAAAGTTGTCCGAAGCAAGGTATGTGTCCGATGCATGGTTAACTCACCCTAATCGAAACATTGATTTAATCTCATAAATGTATCATGATTATTTTTTTGCATTTTCAAAAGAATAATTGGACTACTTAAGCATAATCAAAAGAGTAAAAATATTGTGAGCTTTTTTTGTCATTTTTACAGACACTGATGTCCCATATACTTTTGGAGCCCCCCCCCCCCCCCCCAAAAAAAAGAAGATTTTTTTACGGTTATTGACTGGGTATAAGGGCAACGTATGATTTGTTAAATCTAAACTTTGCCTAATTCCGTGTCACCGATAAGTGTATGATATGATAAGTTGTTTTGTTAAAGCAGTTATGTTGTGGTCTTACAAAACTGATGTTTCACAGTTAGGCCGGTCAATTGTGAAGTTGTTAGACCGATGTAATAAACATTTCTTTTGTTGGACGTTTATTCGTGATAGATAAAGATAATTATAAGGGTATAACAAAGCATTATATGATATTTTTTTTTGAGATGTAAAATATTTGATAAATTAAATATAAGAGAGAGAATTGACAATGATTTCATAGTAAAAAAAAAATGAAATGATATTAAAAAAAAACAATATTTTAAAATAGAAACCAGAAAATTACCCAAGACGTGTTGTTTTCGATAAAACCTCTCCATTGTGATATTCCCTTGCTGGAATTTTTTGTTTCTCAACAGGCAAAACTGATTCCTTAAAGTCCCTTTACTTAGTCTATCGATTGCCTGAAATCCCATAACAAAAAATTATCATATATATAATGCTTTGCTCGACCAGTCACTATTAACCGTTTATGAGAATTAAAATTTAAATATAGTAAATAAATATCGATTTAAATTACATATTCCTCAGGAAGGGATCAAATAGCCTGTAAACTGACAGGCGAATATAATATTCCGTAATGTTCAAATACTTATAAGAATCTATTAAATTATATCGATAACGTGAGTAATGAAATTCTTCACAAAGCGACAACATGAAACGGATATAAACTTGTGTTGCCAGTAAATAAACCGGTTAATGGTGACTGGTCGAGCGCAGTGCAGTGGATTATTAAAAAGAAATAATTTAAAACTAAATTAATCAAGAAATAAACTCGTTTGTCTACACACCTTTAACTGTGCATACAAAGATTTCAAGTCATTTTTTTTTATTTTCTGTACAATAATACGAGTATATTGCTATTGCATTTCACAAGAAAATATTATAAAAATCTTATTTCATTTCGAATATATCAATATATAAGCAGATGTTTTAATATTTTTCATTGACACAAAGCACAATTGTCATTTTTCTTCAGTATAAAGAATAGAATTATGATTTATGAAATTGTACAAATACATAGCTTATTTTTTATACAGATCCTGGTTTATAAAGATTTTTTTTTTATTTTAAAAGAAGATTCCCGAATGCAAAGTACAATTGTATTGCTACTCGCTGCTCTGTGACGTCCTCCAACGTCTCGGATTTTTGCCTTTTTTAATCAAGTCCATGTGTATTTAGAAACTGATATCTTTAAAATGGAGCGACATATTACTTAACCAGATACCGTGTTAATTAATACAGCAATACTTAATTTAAACGTGTAAATTTTATTTCGTTTCAGCTCCATTTATTAGAGGTATGGCTGTAAATACTATAAAGGGAAAATTAGTAAATTACTCAATTTTGACAGTGATCCGTGACCCCATTGTTACTATTCTAAATCTTTTGCAATTTTTATAAATATGAATATACATTTCATTTTTTTTGCTCAAATTATTCTAATCTATTATTAAAATATGTGTACCAAATTTGGATATAACATGACGTTAATTAAAAAAAGTTAGGACAAATGTCTAGGAACCTTTTGAATGACCCTCGTAAGAGATATTGAAAAAAAAGTTTTTTTGTTTGTTTGTGTGTGTGCTTTTTTTTTCTTTGTTTGCTTGTTCGTTTGTTTGTTTGTTTGTTTTGTTTTGTTTTGTTTTTTTTTTTTTTTTTTTTAACTCTATGCATGTTCACAGGCAAAGTTTCCCTATTTTGAAATCAGGCCAATTTTGATACTTTTTGACTTTAGCTCTTTATAAGCAAATCAAATAATATATATAAAATTTGGCCCATCTAATAATATTTTCTTCACGAATAAAAATAATTGCAGGTGTTAGTTTCGTAGAAGCATTTAAAGTTAAAATGAATGTAGTTAAGATATTACCGATGTCAGATCGAACCATTTTTGTTCAAACTCGATGTCAGAAAGAATTAGGTTTTCTTCTTTATGAGCAATGGAATTTCTATATAAATGTATTCGTTCAACATCATCTCCCTCGCCGATGCTATCCAGCGATGGCTTAGCATTCCAATTATTGCTTGGTTTTGTTATGTTTGTCGTGTTACGCAACAATTTGTAGAGAAGTGAAATATCAAGATTCTTTTTGGAAACAAGTGAACCATCACCTGAAAGTGTTTTAGGTATACTTTTTGTTTATTTACAGTAAGTGTTTTTGACATAAAATAATGCATTGAGAATCAGAAGCATTAATGCAAATACGACTGTAGATTGAGATTATCATACGAAGTTACTTACTTGGATAAAGAACTTTGAGTTGATTAGGATTTAGCTTTGCTTTGGAGTTTTTAGAATTTAGAAGACTTTTGTGTGTGGCAAGATGGGTTGTGAAATCTGTACCACTTTGATCAAGATACCTATCAAACGTCATTTGAAGAGCTTCTTTTGCAATTGTGTTGCATTCTCTGTAGCGCAGGAAATTCAGTTCTTCTTTTCCGAGTACATTGATATCTGAAAAATGAGAACCAAATACTTTTTTTTCTAACCATTTTGTTCTTTGTAGACTTTGCTTTGTGTTATATGCATAACATAAATTTTAAAAAATGATTTACATTGAGATTTCTTAGCAATCTCTATAAAATTTATAATCTACACAATATATATAGATGTATATATAGGTCAAATTTAAGAAAAAGCATATGGTTATGTTATGCAATATGAAATGTCTTACATTTTAATATAGGAACAGATCATGAACATTTTTAGCATGGTGTTTTTATTTTTTTTTTTTATTTTTTCCATTTTTTTCAATATCTAATGAAATAAAATTCTGAACTACTTCACGAAAAATAATTATAGATTTATTTTTTCTGTGTTTTTAACACCAGACGCATACGTGTTATAATAAGTAAGTGCTGCAATTCCAACTAAATACAGGGGACTTCATAATTTTACAGACTAAACATACTTTAATATGTAAAGCATTGACGTTTAAATCAGGCTTGCGTATTTTTCAGCAATGCACTTTTCCATTTGGAGGCAAATACAGCCTTGACATTGTGTTTTTCTTACACCTGATCAATCTTAAAAGAACTTAAGACTTACCATTGTACATGAAAAATATGAACATTCATCTTCTTTATTTAATATTATTTTTCTAACATTTCGTAATAATACTTATATACTTGTATAATAATTTTATTTTTTTTTTATTTACACTTACCATCTAATATATATAAAGATAGCACTTTGCTTTCTACCGTTCCCATTGATAGATTTATGCGTATTTTGTATACACCCTCATCAGAAGCGTTTACATCATTTATCATCAGCTCAAACGTATTTGTATTTCTCGAACAGGAATGTTCATGATATTTTGAGCCTTTGTGTGCCTCTATGTTTATAAAATTATTGTTGATGCATCGCATCCATGTCGCCTGTCCTTGAAAATTGATTTGATCCCATATAGCCTTAAGTACAATGCTGCTACCTGGGCTGACAAACACCGATTCTTGAGGAAGTTGAATCTCAGCTTCAATATTAGATGCATATACATGTTTAAAACATTGAAAGATATCAGTGTAACTTACACACTGTGATATTATTAAATGATAAAGCAATACATTTGTTTTAATAAAATGTTTGATGAAACAAGATGAGTTATTCGAATGAGGTGAAGCTTCATAGTAAAATACATGTATTTGAATATTTTTATATTGATTGCAAGGCTGCATCTTCTACATAAAATACAGTAAATTTGAAATCATATGATTAAAGATACTTACGTAAAAGTCTTGCCATGAGCTTGTGCTAAAATTTTACCTGAGGAATAAAATAGACGTTCTTAATAATTATAGCAGGAGATTTATCTTACGTCATAGAGATGTTAAGTTACGAGTGACGTTACAACGTGTACGGAAAACTTTTAACGTACAGGGTATATTCGACGTAAAGGTCCATAATATGATTTAGTTATACGTACACGTGTACGTATGCAAATTTTGTGATTGGAGAGTACAGTAAATGAATTGATCGGCATTGTATTTATTATTTTAAAATTTAGACAAATTACAGGTGAACTTAAATTTATACCTATACATGTCATAGATATCATATACAATGAAAAATTATTATATGTATTGTCATCTCACTGCAGTTAAGCGCTTTAAATATTTTGTTTTCTAGTACCTCTACAGGTCGAGCTTTGAATTCTGCATTATTCGAAAAATGGACGCAGTCATGAAGATTGACGACAAAAAAGACCACTTTTTGCACATTGTGGAAGGGGGGGGGGGGCATCCCAACAGAAAACCTTTCGAAAACGATAAAATATAAAGGCTCAATCATAATTACCTTTAGAAAGGAGGCATGGCATAATATTTAATACATCAATACTCTGTTAAAACCAAAATACAAGTCACACACTGGCCCCCCTTTTTCTGGCCTTTTTTTTGGCTGAAATTTGCGTTTGCTCTATATCTTTACAAGTGCCAGTTTAAAAGGGAAAAACTACCAGTACAGTACCGACCGAACACATCCTAACAGAAAGCGAACCCGGAGCGGACCGCAAGCGAACCTGAAGAGGACCCCAATTTCAGTAGCGGTCCCAGAGAGCGAATGCGCATTCGGTATTTCTTTACAGAGTTGTCAATCAGTATTAGCGATTAACCAATCAGCGCATCAACCAATAAAAATAGCATATTGATCTTTCGATTGGGATGAAAGATCAAACGTGTTGATTTACTCCAATATAAATCCAAATGTTGTACATACAAGCAAAACGTGTAAAGTTACAGTGTAAATCTATTATGATAATTAAAATATTATTTTATATTTATTTAATTCTCCGGGTTGTATTTTATATTTATATATTTATTTTCTTTCTATTTTTTAATAAAGCAATTAATAAATTATATATTTTAATTTTCCACGTAGAATGACACATGAGTATTTACATATTCATTTTCTGTAGTTCTTTATACCATTATTTAAGGCCCATGGGTAAATAAATAGGGTAAATACATCAGTCAATGCGTAAAAAAGGAAATCAATAATTGGTATTTCAATTTTTACCGACAAAAAGAGGAGAGAAGAAAAATAGTTGGTTTTGTAAAAATGTATCATTTCAAGATACAAACAGTACAAAAAATATATACGTGCCCATTGTTCAATAATTTTATTTCCATTTTGAATTCTCTATTTATGTGTTCCTTTGAATTATTTAAAATTCACATTAAAAGTATTGATTTTTTTAATTGGGAATGAAAAAAATTACATGTACATGTACGTCTTCCTGTATGTTTTTGAAAAAAAAAATTGCAGCAAGCTTTTAGAAAACAATTCAAGTACGGGATCGGGAGGAAGACTCATGGAAATGTAAGAAAAAGTCATCTGGCTTTGTTATTAAAAACTAGACTAATGATGAGAGTTAATACAGTTAGGATCTCTCTCTCTCTCTCTCTCTCTCTCTCTCTCTCTCTCTCTCTCTCTCTCTCTCTCTCTCTCTCTCTCTCTCTCTCTCTCTCTCTTGGTCTTGAAGTTTCCTGTATTTATTTATATTCAGACATTTAGAAATATTTTTTAAAAGATAACTTTTAATTTCATTAATATGTATGTATAAAGAAGGTGGGATATATTATTATATTCTTAGCGCGCCGGGAGAACAAGTATTATAATTTGTTTTTTTTTTTTTTTTTTTTTTTTTTTTTCATTCGATTAAAATCATTTTCGCTCAATAATTCTGAGCGTGAAAAAGATCTTATATTTGTTTTTCTTCAAAATGTCCTGTAAATATTTATTAAGAACTTTTAATGTGTAACTACTATGAAAAAATCTAAATAAATCACGTGTACAAAAGTTGTATGTAATTTATAGATGTGATATCACAATTCACCTGTTTGGCCAAGATTTAAAGTACGATTTTGTAAATCTTAATGAATAACAAATATAATTTTAAAGTACATAACGCATGAATTTGAAATGTATTTTGTTTAGATGCTAACTTCAGTTTCACTTGTACACGATGCGATACATTGAAAATCAATTCAACACCTTTTTCTTCCTCTTCTGTTTTTGTTTTCACGTTATTACGAAAGAAAAATAAATGCCTAATAACACGCTGTTAAATACATTAACTTTGCATTTCTTGGGAACTTAAAGAAAATCAATCCCCACAAACACTTGAAATTACACATACTACCAATAAATTATGGCAAGGGTTTATATTTTGTTATGTCACTAGTGCCTGTGGGTGTCATTTTATGAAAAAAAAAAATTTTACATGCATATGAAGAAAAAAAGAATACCTATAGATGTGTTAAAATATGTTTAATAAACATAATATTAAGGGAAAAATCACCGCCAAGATTTTTATTTGGTGCATTGGCAGGTCTTCTTCGAATGAATCCTGTGTTCAAAATAAACAGGCTATATAAACATAAATATGGCATCAGTTTAATTTTTCGTTGATTAAAATACAAATACTTTGATGGACTCATCGAATCATCATACCTTAAAAATGTTTAGATAGTGATTTTGTTTTATAGCATAAAAATCAATCAACTGAATCAGGAAATAAAGATTTTAATCGATGACTTTACACGTTTATGTCGTATGTGTAGACAGTGTATTACACGTTCTAAACATTTAGGTACACTTCCGATTTGATGTCATGATTTCGAAGAACACAACAATTTGTAACATCACAAGTATGTCCCAAAACGTGTGACTAAACTTCTCTATTATCAATGGCAAACTTTAAAATGCAAATCAAAGAAAAATTATGGTTAACTATTATACTTTTAGTAAGGGAAAAATTGATTGGCATTTTTGAATTTGTTCTTACCACCCAAATCCTTGTATACATTGTACAACTCCAGGTTCCATGTTTACAGTATGTGTCTATATATATATATATATATATATATATATATATATATATATATATATATATATATATATATATATATATATATATATATATATATATATATATCGACAAATTAGTTTTTTCTTCTGTTTTGATGATTACTCCATATTTTCACTTATACCAAGTGGGCTTAACAAATTGTATATGTATTTAGTTTTTAAAGTCATTAAATTAAAGAAAAAAATATTGATAATAATAAAGAGTTACCTGTTAACATGTATCACATTAAATTCATCCCATCAAAGAATAGGCTTTAACAAGAGTTGAGTTAATGAATATGATAAATCATTAAAGAATATGGCATGAAGGAACGCCGTTCTAGAAATATGACGTCATTAATTTGGTACATTTTTAAGTTTAATGCAGAAAAACTTCAAAATGACTCATTTCTGTGCTTATTTTCCTTTAAGAAATAGTGTCTGCCACCTCGCCCACTTCCATTTTTTGATATATTATGTAAGCTGCTTTGAAAAATCACATATCTCAATTTTTTTGTGGGCAACGGTGGTAGAGTGTGTTTTCTGAAAAAAAATCTCACTGAAAATTGATGTCTTCTGCAACTTTTTTAAGAACATACGGGAAAATGAACAAGTTAATGACGTCAGAATAAGCATTTAGGAGGTCATATGAGAAAAATGATTTGTGTAGTCTTACTTCATGAAATTCCTATGAATCAGAGATAATGAATTTTAATTTCTTATATCACTTTCATATTTTAGAAAAATACAAGGTTTTATTTGTATTGAAATTGTACCTTGTTCTTTTTGTGAATGCATTTTATATGCCATGTATATATCCTGTGTGGTCTACTTCTAAACCTGTTATTATTGTACATATGTAAATATATTTCGCTGTACCTCACTGGACCTTAAATCCAGCCAATGCATGCAAGTTAGATTTGGACACAGTCCAGACAGGAGTGCGCTTTTACCTTTCTCACATGTTTGCATCCAGCATTGATTGTTATTATTGTTCCCTATAGCTTCGTGATCGCTAGGACATGAGTTCAAATCTCGACCGCGACGGACCTTGGCTGATAAAACTTTTCCTCTGTCATGCGATTGGCACTTTAAAGTAAAATTTACGGGTCCTTCGAATGAGACCGGATGAAAACTTAAAAAAAAAAAAAAAACACTGCTCTGAGTGCTGTGCAAAAATCAGAGATTGAAGTCCTTCACAGATGTATGGTTATGTTTTTATATCGGTGAAAACTATAAGAATACGACGTAAAACAATTAATCAGCCATTTGACTTGTACCCAGTATCACTTACAGGGTTTTCTTTGTAGTTCGTTTTGTGTAATGGTCCAACTTTTCTGAGACCAGACTAAGTTGTATATAATATTATCTGTGTTATTTTCTATGTATCATTCATATATCATGTTGCCCTAATACACCCCATCACCACCCTTCTCCCTTTAGCATGTACATTTTGTTTAATTTGATTGCTGTATATGACAACACATAAGCATTTGAATTTCAAGATACGGGGTACAATTTTCTTTATAATATGTTGTTCGTAACTAAGCATTGCGTTTGTGTACAGGTTAAATGTACAATTTAAGCAGCGCATGTGTATTTAATTTAGTCTTATCCAACACGTTTTTCTTATTTATAAATATGGCAATAAGTGTAGTGTGTATTTGTGTAAACCACAAGAGCTTTATGAGACTTTATAAAAACTGGCTATCGTAAAGAAGGTCGTTTAACACAGGTAACCTTCAATCGTGAGTTTTTTTTTCTGTGCACCTGTAAAGGGAGATCAGCAGAGAACACGGCAACAAATAATATTCATAGTCTTGAAGCATTCACATTATGCCCAAAACCTCCGAAGTACGTTTAGAAAAGAAAGTGAGGCCTAATTTGTACTAGAAAGGTATACTACCAGTACATGT